ACATTGAAAAGTGTTATTCATAGAACAAGTAACTTATCACTATGGTTAAAAGTTATAGCAATGTCGTTTTTAACATTAAAAGTAAAGAAAGGCAATAAACTCCAATTTCAGTAGGCTAGGCTCTGTAACACAAAAAGTATTTTTAAATAATCATTTTACAGTTTTATTATTGGTCTTAATTGATGATATAAGACATCTATACTATAAATGAATCTATATTAAATAAATAAAATTAGCTTTTAAAATATAGTTTGGATGTATGTCCTTTGAACTTAATGAAATTTACATTTAAGATGCTTAAAAATAATGCAATATTTAAAAATAAGTAGCCTACTAAATATGATGGGACACCCAACTATTTGGTTCTGTTGTTGTAATGTTAGGTTTATAATGCCAACAAATTAAATACAATCTAGGAATAATTAGTTTTCCAAGTAATGTTAGATACAATACTGACATTTTTTTAAATGTTTGTTCAATATGTAAATGTAGTTGCAATTAATTTTACATTCATGTAATGTGCGTGGAATAAAAAGTAACGTCTTTGGAAAAGTAGCTAAAATTGTAGCTGTAGCTACATTTCATTGTAGCTGTAGTTGTAGCTAGCTACTTTTTCGTAACTGTAGCTGTAGCTGTAGCTAAGCTACTTTTTTGGAAATGTAGCAGTAGTTGTAGCTAGCTACATTTTAAAAGTAGCTTCCCCAACACTGCGTACAGCTACTGCTACTACGGTGGTACACGGCGCTACTGACGGTCGACGGAGTACTCGTTAGAGGAGGGGTTGTACCGCAGCTGCCGAGTAATGAATCATACATACATACTACGTCATACACCCGCTACATACAGCTACTGCTACTACGGTGGTACACGGCGCTACTGACGGTCGACGGAGTACTCGTTAGAGGAGGGGTTGTACCGCAGCTGCCGAGTAATGGTGAATCATACATACATACTACGTCATACACCCGCTACATACAGCTACTGCTACTACGGTGGTACACGGCGCTACTGACGGTCGTCGGAGTACTCGTTAGAGGAGGGGTTGTACCGCAGCTGCCGAGTAATGGTGAATCATACATACATACTACGTCATACACCCGCTACATACAGCTACTGCTACTACGGTGGTACACGGCGCTACTGACGGTCGACGGAGTACTCGTTAGAGGAGGGGTTGTACCGCAGCTGCCGAGTAATGAATCATACATACATACTACGTCATACACCCGCTACATACAGCTACTGCTACTACGGTGGTACACGGCGCTACTGACGGTCGACGGAGTACTCGTTAGAGGAGGGGTTGTACCGCAGCTGCCGAGTAATGGTGAATCATACATACATACTACGTCATACACCCGCTACATACAGCTACTGCTACTACGGTGGTACACGGCGCTACTGACGGTCGACGGAGTACTCGTTAGAGGAGGGGTTGTACCGCAGCTGCCGAGTAATGGTGAATCATACATACATACTACGTCATACACCCGCTACATACAGCTACTGCTACTACGGTGGTACACGGAGCTACTGACGGTCGACGGAGTACTCGTTAGAGGAGGGGTTGTACCGCAGCTGCCGAGTAATGGTGAATCATACATACATACTACGTCATACACCCGCTACATACAGCTACTGCTACTACGGTGGTACACGGCGCTACTGACGGTCGACGGAGTACTCGTTAGAGGAGGGGTTGTACCGCAGCTGCCGAGTAATGGTGAATCATACATACATACTACGTCATACACCCGCTACATACAGCTACTGCTACTACGGTGGTACACGGAGCTACTGACGGTCGTCGGAGTACTCGTTAGAGGAGGGGTTGTACCGCAGCTGCCGAGTAATGGTGAATCATACATACATACTACGTCATACACCCGCTACATACAGCTACTGCTACTACGGTGGTACACGGAGCTACTGACGGTCGACGGAGTACTCGTTAGAGGAGGGGTTGTACCGCAGCTGCCGAGTAATGGTGAATCATACATACATACTACGTCATACACCCGCTACATACAGCTACTGCTACTACGGTGGTACACGGAGCTACTGACGGTCGACGGAGTACTCGTTAGAGGAGGGGTTGTACCGCAGCTGCCGAGTAATGGTGAATCATACATACATACTACGTCATACACCCGCTACATACAGCTACTGCTACTACGGTGGTACACGCAGTTCCAAACTTTTACATTACTCTTGCAATTTGTTTTGTAAGAGACGGAGCTTAGTGGGTAGGAAAGTCGGTGTGGAACGGAAGAATGGCGTAAGTTTGAGCGACAGCTGACAGCGGAACGGTTTGATTTGTCATGATCAGCTGTGTCGTAGTGTTGCCAGATGCTTAATATGTTTGCTGTGATTAGCTGACTGCCAATAAGTGATGCAGTTTGAGGGATAACATATAGTTACGTTATAAAATGTAATTCCCCGACAGTCCCGGACTTGAGTCTTGGCACAGAATATATACTACTATTAGAATATATACTCATATTAGAAAATATGAGGTAATAGAAGTATATTTTCTGTGGTCTTGGTCATGCCAATGGCTCACCACTTCAGCTTCAGAGGAGATTTGCGAATAAATGCGGTAAACACGGGCTATTTAAATTGGATATTTGCTGAGGGATTTATTTAATTAAACCCATAATGAGCAAACTTAACTCGGCCAATGGCGAAATGGCAGTTATAACATCGTACACACACCCGTTGAGAAATGGGCCTTTGTTGTTTAGCTAATGGCTATTTTAAAATATTGTTCGGTTTTTACGTATTAAACGGAGGCCACATTTTGTCAGCGCGCTGCGGCGGTTATGTTAGGTTGGGTTATCATAATAGAAAGTATCGTTCGATTCATAACGAAGCGAGGAAAGTCCTACACACATATTATTTACGATAACCCAACCTAACATAACCGCCGCAGCGCGCTGACAAAATGTGGCCTCCGTTTAATACGTAAGTACCTATTGTTCATGTAATAAAACGTAAATAATAATATTAATTCAATATACATTCTGGATAAATATCTTTTTGAGGCCAATCGGTGATTTAAAAGCAACACATAACTCCCTAAAAATCTGTTGTTTAGGAACATTTTTTTCCGTAATTTTTCTTACGTGGCAGGTAACTTAAAATTGTTCAATACAAACCAAAGTTTTAATGGCGTGTATGGTTAAAAATAAATTTTTAGTTCTTGGTATTTTACAAACAATTTTGGTACGTTTACAAAATGGTATTTTATAATAAATTTTATAAAAATATATTGTCTTTACAAATAATTTATAAGTGTTGTAATCATTTAATTAGCGATCTAGAAGATAATTTACCTAAATAATTCTTAGAAGTTTTTCTTCCAACCAGAGGTTGAATAATATTATATAAAATAGGATAATTACTGTACCTTTTAAAAAAGGTATTTCATTGAAGTGTCATTTATTAACACTTTCTATTCAGCTACCCTTTCTTAAATTGAAATCTACAAATTATATAGAAATATCAAGACACCAAATATTCCCGAAAGCTTTGGTTTACGGAAAGGTATTTGAGAAAAATGTTGTAAAATAATTTTTTTATTATAGAAACAATCCAAACGGGTTTCTTGGCCATTTTCAAACTTGTTGTGTTTCACTCTTGAAATTTCAAGAATTATGAATATTTAGGATTTATTTTAAAATGTGGCTTCAACAAGTGGACGTAATTCCTTCAAAGATGTAACACCCATCGATGTATTATACATCGATGGTAACACCATGAAAAGTATTTTATTCCGAATAATCGGCCTGCATCGCTGCGAATGGTTATTGAAAATGGTTAGTGAACAGAGATTGATAATTTCGCTGTCTTGACAAAAACAGCGGCAGAGAACTTTTCTCTTTACAACAGAAAATTGGATTTTTTAAAGTCCTACAACGGCCAACAACCCGGTTCAGGTAATATGAAGAGTGTTCTTCTGAACTAAGGGGTGTGGGGTGTGGGGTGTGTGGGTTGACTAAGGGTCATTTATCATAAGCCACAATAATTTGCTATGAAATATTAACAGATTCGATTCACTCGAGCTTTATAACACTAGTGTTCACGTGTATTCAAACCAATAAAAGGGAACGGTTTAGTATTCAAACGATACTGACAGTTGTTGTGAGTCACATAATCAGATTCCAGTACTGTAATACCTTTATTGCGACTTACGCAACTTATTGTATGTTGTGGGGTTGGTTGAGAGCAATTTTCCATATAAACAACGTGACGGGAGACCATCTCTGACAGGTTATGTGGACAATACTGTATTAAATATAAACATTCTTCTGGACATCGCTTACCCCACATCCCACATCCAACGTAGGTGCAACATTAGTTGAACATGTTCTAATTGTTAATCCGTATACTGAAAATTATACAAATTGAAATAGTTATAAGATATTTTAGAAACAAGTTTACATAAGTAAGTTAAATTCCTCATGAATAAATTACCATACCATATATAAAATTTTAAAAAAAACCTGTGTTGCAACGTTGCGAATGATAATTAAGTCAACTACATTGATGATTTGTTCTACAACTTAATTTTAAGCTTTATTATTTTCATACGATTAGGCATCATCTTTGACTATTAATAGTCAATGGTATCATGTAAAAATTGATTTTCAGAAACAAAATGTATGTGTAAGCGAATACCTCGAATCAATTAAACCAGCACCACCTCGAACGGAAAATTGACCAACTGGACAATTAGTTGGTTTTGAAACTACAAAACCAGGCTCCGCTCCGACAAGGTTGAGGTTAGTTCTGCACTCTGTACAACACGTACAGCCATGTGGTTCGGAGCCCACCTTGCTTACCTTATTAGATACAAAAGTTGGTTGTTGTCGGAGAAAAGCCATAGGTACTGAATGTGTTTTACATAATTTGTACAAAAACTTATTTGATACAAGATATGACATCGATACGATTACGTTACTCAATGTTAACTCAGTTAGTCTTCTGATAAAGGATACATCTCTTGGAAGAAGTCAATGTGTGGTGGTTGCAGGATGTCCAAGGCTGACAGAACCTGTAACAGGCAAATAACGAAAATTGTGTACCATCAGCAAGCTAGCTGTATCGAATAAAAAACACATCTTCACAGGTAAACTCTTCAAATCGTACTTACATTTCTGTTTGGATCAATTTTTAAAATTTTCACCGTTAAGTGCAAGTACTGTATTGACAACCTGAACCTGCCTGCACCTGTTTGCAAACTGAAGAAGATATCCCAACTATTTGGACAAGCTGTACATTTTGTAGCAAAGTTTGATTAAATAATGGTGCAATATGACGAAAATGTAGGTCATGACACGGGCAAAAAGTGACTTTTCAACCTTCGTTCATGGTAACTTCAGCTCAGGTCGAAAAGGGTCACTCTACGCCCTAGGTGATGGAATACTACACGATTAGATATACTGTATTAAACATGCCAATGTTTAAATGGAAACCTGGCTGAATAAACAATAGAAGTGTTCACCCTATAGTTTGTACAACCGTCAACATGAGTGTGTTGACCCTGGGACAAACTGTGATAGAAATAGATTAACGCTGTCACCGATTTATTATACAACAGCACTTCCGTATGTAGCGATCAGATAGCCAATTAATTATATCGTTTACATGTAATGCTTAGTAACTTGATGAAACTGAAGGAGTTTGTGACAAGACGGTTTCGTATCTTAACAACTGTGAACGAAACGTTTGTGCGTTGTTAAAAATAGGTCTATTATATGAATTTTTAAAAATAAATAAAAGATTTACAAATGAAGCAGATAGTTCTCAACGACGCTTGAGATTATAAACATTACAAGGTTACTACAGATTATATTTTGATCTTTATAATCGTTAATGACCTGGTTTCTTTGAAGGATATCGCCAGATACCTTAGATAGTGTTTATCACTATTGTGGGTCCAGGTTGTTATGATACATTGTTCATTCTGATGCCAGGGGTTTGTCCCAGTATGTGCCAACTACAGTACACGTAACGACAACGGAGTTAGTTATACTGCTTATTTTACGGCGCGTATTTCCCTCCCTTGGGCCGCAATTTTACGACATTTCTATATGTAATTCTGACATAAAGGCAAGACGCAATTTCATAGCTCGGTGACACTTCCTTCAGCACAGACACTGTGTCTATAAATAACAATCTAAGATCGTATGTTGATGTATATCATATAATACTTCTGGAAGCGTTTCAATGCTGCGACCTTGTCTCCGCGCCATTTCTGGTAGTTCCTACAATAGTTTCCTTGTTGCTACAATACCAATTACCGCAATCGCAACAGACTTTCTTAATGTCATGGAAGATTCTAGTGCGGTTATCAATCTGAATGTGAAATCCACCGAAGACGCTGTTTCTCGGACAATATACCCGCGACTTCCCGTGTTGCTGGTGTATTGAGGGCGGAAGACAACCCGAGGGTATTCTTCGCAAACTGTTGGAGAAAATTTACATTTAAGTAAAACAAACGAATCGTTCATGACTCATCATCTAACGCTACCGGTTATACAACTCTCGTGTTCGGACGACTTGGCCAAGTTTTTAATTGTAAATATTTTAATGTTTAGTATGTGTTCGTGTTATGTGTCCTATATGTGCTGACGACTCCACCCACGGATGAGAAGGCCGTATTTTAACGTTCATAGACAACCTGAAGATGTACTCGTTTAGCAGTACGAAACGGCCGTAGTTATTTCATAACTTAAGGATCAATTGACTCAACAGGTAAATTAAACCTTTTATACAGGGTGTTTCAGAATTAGTGTCGGATATTTTAGGTTATTATTCCTGGGTAAGAAACATATCCAAATATCATATTTAAACAGTCCGGAAGTCTTTATTTACTCAAACAGCCGCCATTTTGTTTTTTCCTTTAATATATTTGTTTAAAGAGAATGGTAAAACATACGGAATTGAAACTTTGCACAAACATTTCTGACTACTAGGCAAAGCTACAAAAAAATTATGAAAATTTTCCAAATACATAAAACAAAATGGCGGCTATTTAAAATTTTGTTTCTTAAATAACTCAAAAACCGTTGATTTTATGAAAATTTTACTAGAATAACTTTTTTTAGGTAATTTTATTACAAATCGATTGACACCTTAATTTTTACAATTGAACGTATATCAACTGAGATATGGCAGTTTTAGTGATACGTGACCACTGGAGGTTAGTTGTAGTGCATGCGGAGCCATGCATTGTTGTGGCAGACGTTTCACTAAAACTGCCATATCTCAGTTAATATACGTCCAATTGTAGTATATTAATTAAAGTTAAGGTGTCAATCGATTTGTAATAAAATTACCTAAAAAAAGTTATTCTTGTAAAATCTTCATAAAATCAACGGTTTTTGAGTTATTTAAGAAACAAAATTTTAAATGGCCGCCATTTTGTTTAATGTATTTGGAAAATTTTCATAATTTTTTTGTAGCTTTGCCTAGTAGTCAGAAATGTTTGTGCAAAGTTTCAATTCCGCATGTTTTACCATTCTCTTTAAAAAAATATATTAAAGGAAAAAACAAAATGGCGACTGTTTGAGTAAATAAAGACTTCCGGACTTTTTAAATATGATATTTGGATATGTTTCTTACCCAGGGATAATACCCTAAAATATCCGACACTAATTCTGAAACACCCTGTATAAACAAACGAAATCGAAGTATAGTATAAATACTGGCTGCAGAAGTGTACATCGTGAATAGGTATGGGCTTGGGCTATTTTATTTATGCCGCACATGGGGTAGGCCTAGAAAGAAGATTAATGGTCTGGTAAATCCAAGTAGCATTGTCTTTACTGTAATTATAGATCAGCGTCTCTCAAATCGTGTGCTCCCACTATCTCCGCGTTCCGCTATATCCGAACCCAAATCTGTCCCGCCATCTCCGAATTTTTGAGTGACCCTTATAATCCCGTCACTGCCTACGTTGATAGCTGTCATTGCATCCACGGCTGCGAAGCCCCGTGGATGGAAGATTTAATGAAAATTTTACCCGTGGGTTAGGTTAGGTTAGGTAAGGTTAGGTTAGGTTAGGTTAAGTTAGGTTAGGTTAGGTTTGGACGGAAAGTCTTAACGCAGGAAGTAACCGAGGATTATAGGGGTCACTCTGAAATTCGGAGGTAGCGGTACACGGAGATGACGGGACGCGGAGATAGCGGGAGGTAACCTCTCAAATAATGCTGACGGAACTAGAAAAATTTAAGTATAACCACGAACATCTCTTTTATGTGATAGTAGATTTTAATAATTGTTTTGATGTCAAGTTTTAGATCGATGTAACATGGACTAAGCCCCTAGGTGAAATGCTGCGAGATTGTATCTGGTACTCACGTTTTCGTGTTTGAAGAAGCACAACATCTTGAGCTCGCGGAACACGCGCTTCGACGACACGAGGCTTTGAAAGACGTTGGGGAGTTTCTTGAGGGCGACTCTCCGTCCGTCTCTGGGATCCGTCACCGCCCTGCAACAACACAACATCATGTTATACGTGTACACACCTACAGTATTTACAACTCTACACACGTCTTGTGTACTCCATACAATGCGTGATACATTTACGATAGGTCTTGATTGCAGATAGTAGCACGATTCATCTGTATACCACAGAAAATACAACATTGTCTGTGGGGGGAACACTAATCCCTAACAAGGTCATTTACCTTTCAGGTATTTATGACTGGATTTCCATTCTCCGAAGCGTATTAATGACCTTAAGTAGTGGAAAATTATCCACCAAGCATTATTTCCATCGTCATCAGGTAAACAAAAACATAACTAGGGCAAACAAGCCAACCAACGAAAAATCTTCCATTACAAATAAGTTTACCCGCCGCGACAGGGACAGGAACCCTGGACTACTGTCACCAACGCACCCAACACGTGGAGAAATGTACTATCGTTACCCAACACTACTCAGCACTCACTTCAACTCACGAGTCAACACACTGCAAATTTACTAAAACTATTAGGTTTATAAATAAATTAGACGATACTGGTTTGTAATGTAACGCAAACTAATGCGACATATCATATCGCATAATGTTTAGGCGCTTATTTTATTTTTCTTGCCGATTTCAATCATTTAAATTACTAGGCCGTAATTAGTTAAACAATAAAAGATTCCACAAATAACAACTACTTTATACTTATTTATTTGTTTAAACAAGTAATATGAGTGAACTGCTTAAACAAGGGACTTTTGGACATTCACTGAGGTCAAAATATAAATTTGGAAAACATGTTTCGTTTAAGCCGACTCAAATCGCACGACGTCGTCTTTGCTCCGAATATGGAACCAACCCTTATCTCGTGCGAGATGAAGACATCCTAAACGGGTTATATCTCCTGTGTAGCCCGCGGCAATACGAGGTCATATTGGCGGGTAAATGACTCCGTGACGTCACGTACACCAGGGGCGACGAATGGCGCGCGCACACTCGCACTACAACGATAAACTGAATTGAAGTATTGGATTTACATTCAAATAAATATTGTTTGGGACCTTAGTCAGCAGCTCACGAAATGCACATTTGTATATTTCGAATAACACGATTATAGGCACTCCAACGATAAACTAAATTACAATAAATAGTAACTGTAAAATAGTTAATACAGAACCTTGATAACAAGACTCTCATGGGGATTATGAAATAAGACTTGTTATCAAGGTTGTCTTCTTATCGAGGGTTGCAATAACACGTGATTAGGGGTAAATTAAATTCTAAGGGATTTAAAAATGACACTTGTTATCAAGGGTGACTTTGTTATCGAGGTTCCACGTATGATAATGTGCAAAAGATAAGTTTTCAACAATCAGTGAAGATTAGTTTATACTTACAGTGTATAACATAGATAGAAGGCCCAGTATTAAGAAAGAACGTGTGATGGAATAATATAAAATAGTATAGAATTAAATCATGTCTACGATATTGTTCCACATAACTTCTGTGGCTGCGACTCAAACCCCTAATCCCGCATCAGAGTTGATTTAACCATTCCAAGCTTCTGTCGCCGTTTCTTTCGTAGCTTCATTTATATCGATATCTTTATCACAGTTCCTCCGTACCGACCGTTTTATCCAATTTAACAAATTAAAGGATTTCAATTGATTCTAAAAAACCAATAACGCCCTAAATATCAGACCAATATAAGTAAAAAGGATCTATACACAAATTTAAGGGAAAAGAGCATTTTAGAATACGAATTCAAGGAAAACGTTAACCACAACAAAACGTAGAGGGTGTCAAACCTGTGAACTGGGGACATACGTCGACCGGTGTCTTTGTGTTCCTTACAATGGTCACACTCTCCCGGCAAACAGCTCTTCTTTGTTCTTATAAAATAATAAATATAGAGGTTGGATGAAAAGAAAATGTTATTACTGTACTTACACAGAGAAGTTGCTTTAAACTCACGAGCTATGCAAAAATAACCCATTTGGGACTGAGGGTGACAAACGTTTATCATTGGCATTACATACTTAATCATTCATTATCTAACACACAAAACCGCGAATAATTTCTCATGATGAAGTTTCAAGCAAAATACTAGGCCTATTGCCGCTCTATAAATAAAATGAAATCACTTAAATAATCGCCGTATTTGAAAAATATCACGCAATTTCAATTGAAAATTCGAATGGAAAATCCGTTCTCTGTTGAATCAATTTGAAAAACTCAAGGTTTCACATATTAAAATATCAATTATACCAGTACATATTTTCTGCATTATCCTAAAATAATTATTTTAAAGGAAAGAATACCGAGAATATCGTTAAGCTAATGCAACTCCACTCACAAAAAGTAACATCTAATAACGTAGGTGTTGCGAAATTCATGAGAAAATATTCGCCCAACTGTATGTCCGAATGTTCCAGGTGTAATGACATACAGTGGAAATTAAATCTTAAATAGTTAAGAGATTATAACATTCACTTTAACAATAAAAATACAGTGTGTATTCCTAAAACTTGAGGCAACACGTAGTGTAATAATGCAGCCCATGGCGTGGAGGGACTAGGGAGCCGACGACCAGGAAGTGCTATAAATATGATAAACGTGCGCGTGTCGCAGCAAACGTGCAGCAGATAACGTGGAAACGCCGCGCACGCGTGATACACTCCACTGACGGCACGAGGAGAGCAGTACAACAGATGAGATACAATATAGTAACAGTGTAAAACTGTGCATTGCCTGAATTGTCATTTGACACAATACACAAACAGAGTAGATCCAGGGGGGGGGGGCGGGGTAGAGAATACGTGAGAGTATGGCTGTGCTGACGTACACACGCGCGGTCTTATCACTGTTATCACCGCACGCCTGGACGGCACGGCTGATTTATCTCGAGTCACTTTCGTGTAAACTTCGTAATATTAGTTTTTGGCGTTTAATTTACGCAAAGTCCCTCTTTAAACCAACTCAAAACTGTTAAACTGCGCGGCATATTACAAAGTTCCCTCCAACATTAATGGTCAACTAGTTAAAAAAAAACTACAGTGACTTAAATTTCCAGTACCACTTGGGATAATTTACCTCAGAACGACTAGATGCGTCTTTATGTATCTTGCTTGATATCCGAATTATTAAACGATTTAACGTAAAAAAATAACATTTAGACCATTTTGGTGGCAGATAGTAGCACTGTAGTAACGCTTGTATAATCGAGGGTCCTCACATTGCACACTTGTACAGTACTTTGACATATTTACGTACTAAAAAATCAAACTTTACTGTTCTGTAAGATTCACCTAGTATGATTTCATCGTATATGTTTTGACACTTTTCACAGCGAAGTTTGGTCCTATTTCACGACGGGATTGAGGCGCGTTGAGGTACGTTGTCTGCATAACGTGGTAATTGTGGTGACGTCAGCTCCCACACCACGTGGACGTCTCAGTTAACGCTGACATCTACAGTCTCTGGTTTCAGCTACTGCACTTTTGTTACGCAGTTTGCTAAACACTACAAGAGATACATCAATAATATTATTGCCTTATGGCGCAATCAAAATCATAAGTAAAACTATAAGTTAGGCCTGATGGGAATCAATAAGACTAGCTGTTACCCACGGGCTTCATCCCGTTTGACTTCATAAGTACTGTATTAATAAAACTATTTAAGTTGAAAGGTGCAAAACAGAATACGGCAATACAAACAAATAATCACACCTGGTTTTAAAAAGGTAATAAATTGAAAGAATAACAAACAAATAAGTACAGCTGAGTAACAATAAATAAGTAACATTAGGCATATGAAAAGTTCTCTTTAGAAAGGAAATCACGATCTTAAAGGGAAATTTATGAAATAATAAATAGTTTTGCGCAAGGTTTCTCGTCATGACGAACATTTTAAGTATATGGTTTATGGAGGTGTGTTTTCTCAAAAGTTCATGGGTACTTTGGGATTTATATATGGATTTTACAAAGCAAACAAATCGATTTTTTAATAACGACATCTTTCTTGGAGAATCATTAAATTTAACCTAACATAAACATATTTTAATTTTACCAGAGTAAGCTAACGACATCGACTATAGTCAATGGTGACGTATTTGGTTGTCTAGTAGCCTATTTAGGCATATTAACCTACTTAACATATTATGTGTTTACTAGCTGATGGATATTCGAACTCGTATTACAGGTGTTAAAACATCCACTCTGATCCCTAAACTGGTTCGATTCTTCACCTACCTGGTTAAACATGTGTACAAGTAACAAAGTACATAAATTGTAATCCAACAATAAGGCAAGTTTGAAGCCTTTGTCTTACATCTAGTCGTCTGAAATTATAAATAATATTACTTTACTTTACAATGATTTTAAACTCGTTTGGACACGTTTAAAATCGACAGGAATTAAACTATGCCCAAGGGTCGGGGAGGGGGTGAGGGGTGAGGGGTGAGGGATTGATTCTGGTTGTAAATCAGTGGAGTTGTAGCTCGCAATTCGCGGCCACTTGTAACTGTGCCAAGGAAACTTTCAAGTCAATAAAACAATGTCCTCGGGTACACTTGCCTTAGCTCCGGTATTGATGAAGACGAGGACTGTCGACTAGTGACAGCGATCCTAGTGTCGACGACGCGGCTCCCAAAGTGCATTTATAATCAGTAGATATATTATGTAAAATCGTTAATTATCACCCTTGTATAACGTGTTAGCTTCATGTTTGAGGGTTATATTCTAAAGAGTTTTTAACATCTAGAAGTAAATTCTTTTTAATTATGTAGTTTGATCTGAAAGATGGACAAGATATTGCACAATATAACAATATTGTTACAGTCGGTAAATACTGTTTATAGGAAACCTTGAGACAACAGTAAGATGTAATAGTTTTACATTGTAGTGCTGGTCTAGGCCCTACATTGTCTCTACAAGTAGTCGATGTACAATACTGAGACAATGTAGGCCCATTGTATAATATACTATAGTTTACAGTTGACCAATTTAGGGATTGGCGCCAA